AGATCTTGTAAGGTAAGTATGTTGAAAAAAGTTGTAAACATGTACAAGAACATTAATGGTTCAACTGTTATCCTCTTCAAGTCAAAACTGTGCCGACCACAACTTACATAGATTGCCATCTCTACAACAATGATCTATATCACTTATCTAATTGATCTAAAAACAGGTATGCAGAGCAGTTCTGAAATATAAAACAATTGATATGGGTTAGGAATGAAATAGTTCCAACAAATTTACATAACAATAATTCTATGTGTAAATGAGCTTCTTTTATACTAAGGAGATAATGATGTACATACAGTACATATATACCATCTGTACTCACTTATAAGTTCAGTCCAAATGCAAACAGCAAACATCTGATTTATCATATCACACCAGCTAATCAATATTGTTTGTTGTACTGATTGCAATTGATTACTCCTAACAAATTGTACAGACCCAGATCTGTTGATAAATTAAGTAATGACAAATCTGGATCTGTGCAGTTTACAGTTGTACTTGTCTTATAAGTGAGTACATATGACAAATCTGGATCTGTGCACTTGTCTTATAAGTGAGTACATATGGTATGTAGCATAAGTAATTTTTCAATGCTTCAGATATTTTTTACAACATAATCCATCACTCCACCTGATGCTTTATCTAAAAATCAAGAAAAATCAATGTAAAATTGGCTAAAAAGGGTTCCTCTAAATATATTCAGGATTCACTCATTTTGTAAAGTTCTTTTCCCCCAATTACATGTCTGCTCATAATGTTAAAAATAATTCCATGTTTTCAAATGGGTTTTTTTCCCCCCATGCTGGTGTTCATGATCCTTGATCCAGGCTGAGTTCTGATCATGTATCTATTTCAGTAATTCATCTTAAATATTCTGTTCAAAAGTTTTTTTTTATTAATTAAATTAAAAATCATGTTATTTAAAATTTATGCTGCAGACAGCAACTCATGGCAAATCAAAGGTACTCAACCCTACATGGATTTACCAACTTCTAACCTCTCTTATCATGTGATGCAAATTTATATTTTCAAGGGTGAAATGAATAGTGCTGGGGCTGGAAACCAACGGCATGCATGCCACAAGGTGGCACATCAAGAGGTTTTGAGTGGCACATGAAGGGAAGCCAAAAATCTTGATTTTAACAGTATTATCCTTTCACCGAGGGCTTGCACACATTCATTTTGTAATGAATCCAGAAAAAAGTGGCACGCTATGTAAAATTGGTTTCTGAACTCTGGAATAGTGCAGTATTTGCATAAATGGGAGAAATGTCAGCATGAAATCAAAGGAGCCCAAATGAAATTTTTTCCATCCATCTGCCAGCTGTCTGCAAGCATAGCTTGGTACCCATTGCAAAGTGAGCTCATCAGTTAATATTTTCTGCAAATTGGCCCAGATTAAAATTCTTTGTTCATGTTTTTTTTATTTCTGGTGTTTCATCATTACTCAAGAAGCTTTTATTATTTATCCACTTATCTAAAAATCAGCTGTAGAAATTGAAAACATTTGAAAGTACCTTGTATGGAGATACCATACACAATGGTGCTGTTAAGCATAAGGAACACATCTTTTGAAAATGACATATAGTTAACAGATCGATTTAAAGAATAATAGGCAGCTAACTTACAGGATTTTATACAAATATGATTGATGAATCACTCTTCATTAGAACACATCAAATAATAATTTTATTCTTGAATCATTAGACTGCCATGTAAACTGAATATTAGCACGATTTGGGTTGCATTTTGCATTAAAACACTGGTTATGGAGGTGAAATTCTTATATTTATAGATTACAATGACCAATGTTCTAGTTCAAATTAATGATTATTATGTCTGGAATAAATGTAAGTGGTACAGATTTCATCAAATGCAAAATAACGAATGTTTAAAGTAGGGATGGATGGGTAGGGAAATTTTGCTGGGTACCCAGCCAGGCTGGATTTTATTATGTAGTACAAAACTCAATTGGGTCTGGGTGGCCAGGCCGGGTACCCATCCAACCCTATATTATGGATGGGTAGGGAACTTTTGCCAGGTCTGGGCACCTGGCAGGAAACACAGCCAGGTTTGCTATTCCAGGTAGTGCAAAACTTACCCAGGTCCCACTAGCTGGGCTGGGTATCCATCCATCCCCCCTTCATGCAGAGATTATAGCTAGACAGAAAATATGCTTATGCTTATATACAAAACATAGCAATGTGAGTGTGTGTGTGTGTGTGTGTGTGTGTGTGTGTGATTTGGATTTTTAATGTAGCTTTAACATCTTCTAGACAGAAAATTTGCTTATGCTTACATACAAAACATAGCAATGAATGTGTGTGTGTGTGTGTGTGATTTGGATTTTTAACGTAGCTTTAACAATTTTCAGTCATATTGGTACAATGTCTGCAGTGTGGCAGTTTATAGTGATGTATAGCACTGGGGCATCATGTCGCAGACATATAGCATGTTGTCCCACCCAGTCACATTATCCTGACTCCAAGCCGACCAGTCCTAGCACTAACCTCTTGATGCTGAGTGCCAAGCGAGGCAGCTGTGAGTACCATCTTTTAAGTCTTTAGTATGACTTGACTGGGGATTGGACCCACGACCTCCCTCATCCATGGCAGAACCACTAGGCCACCAGAGCGGTTCATAACAATGAATAAAAACTAAATAAATGTGATTCAAATGGTTGAGTTCAGTCAGTCAATTGTATCTCTTAGTCATTGTAATATAACTTATCACAGCTCAAAATATGTGTTGTTTTCTACAGATAATGTACAATTACCAAACAATAATGTTCCAGTAGTAATAGTGAAAGGGAGTGTACATAGAATTTTATCTCTAAGACTTCAATATTTCGAACAGTCCAGAAGAAAGTGTTTGCATTCTCAATTTCACTGCAGGAGCAATACTTATTTTTAGATACATGATTTATGTATAAATCATAATTAAGTAACTACAATTTGTACTTATCCCAGCATGCATGAGATGAGACATTCTATCACGTCTTTATCACGATTCAAATAGGATTTAAAATTATGTACTGATGGGTTGTTTATCACTTCCATGGGTGGCAAGTTCCATATTCGAATCATGGAACATAGAAATGAATTGTTGAACAAGATTAGTCTACACATTTGGGGACGACAATAGTTTGAAAATATAATGGAATAGGTCTCACGTTTTGTAAATAACGGTCAAATCAAGTCTTAACAAAAAGGCAGACCTAGCCCATAGTAAATTTTAAATGATGCAGTTAGTGCTTGTAACGGCTCGAGTTTAAGCTTTCAAAGTTAGTTTCGTTGGATAATTGTGAAAAAGAGGCACTTTAGGTTGTATCAATTCTTATTCTAAACAAATATCTTTTTCTAGGAGTTCTCTATCATTTGAGGCATTTTAAACAATTTAATTTCTCACAGACTGTCAGAATTGCGGCGACTATAAAAACTGAAATACACTGAAAAACCGAAATTAACACAGAAATACACTTATAATTACATGTTCAATGTGTATATTTTGTTGTACACACATGAATTATGATCTGTTATTGTTTAAATAGTATTAATGAGCAAAATAAAATATGGAACTATTTTAACTCGTATTATTTAGTTATTTTTCCTCGTGATAGAACTCGATAAACGGTCGTACTTGATTAACTGTTGACCGTTATGGTAACACAAAGTCTGGTCGTTCCGAAATGGAGATAATCTCTGGCTTAGACTGAAACAATATGTCACGCACATTAAAGAAACGGTACCCGTTTGCTCAACATTGCCCTTATTCTCTAATTGTGCTCCTAAGGAACTCGCCACTGACCTTGATTATGCACACATCTTATAACTAAGCAGTAAATGTTTTGAGCTTTCTACAATACCGATATTATCACATACAGACATACGCAGCAAGGATCAAGTAGGTCTCTGCTTATATATATATATATATTTATATATATATATATATATATATTTTTATATATATATATATATATATATATATATATATATATATATATATATATGACAGCAGCATAGACCAACAAGTAGGTCTCTGCTTTGTTTAATATATATCTGACAGCAAATCTACGTTCTCTCAATAGATAAATAAATTGTATGATTAGATTGCAACAAGTTACAAAATTTTGCGCAAAGTAACAAAATGTTTCGAAATTTTAGAAATGTTACACAATATCGGCGAAAAGGTATAAATACTTGTGAAATTTAGGACAAATTACAAAGACTTGTTTAGAAATGATTATTTATGCTATTTTAATCACACAATTAACTATATAGATAAAATGAGATTAACTGTTGGCCTAACGAAAGATTTCCTTCAGTTTAAAAATAAAGTTTGTTTCCTCAACCAAATCCAGAACGAAACTTAAACAAAATCCAAATTTCAACCGAAAAAATTTCCAACAAATTCATTTTCTCGCTTTTTTTGTTTTACCAAGTAATTTCAAAGGTTTTCATAATCTTCGTTTGCATCAGTATATACTTTTCGAAACCGCAATTCAAATTTGATTTTGGTTTCGTGTGCAAAAAAGTGATTTCAAAATCTATTTTCTCGATTTCTTTCAAACCTAGATATTGTATATGCTACAATTATCGCGAAATTTTTTAAGTATAAACTTGAGTATTGGAAGAGATTCTTATTAGAATTCAGTGTTCAGACACGGTCACAACTTTATCTCAATTAACTGTATACTAATTATCGCATTCACATCTCACCGTATGTTACCTACTCTTAAACGATTATTTGTGTGTGTTTATGTGTGTTTATGTTTTTAACGTAGCTTTTAACAATTTTTCAGTTATATCACTACGATGTCTGCAGTGTAGCAGTTTATAGTGATGTCTAGCACTGGGGCATCATGCCGCAGACATGTAGCATGATGTCCCACCCAGTCACATTATCCTGACACCAGGCCAACCAGTCCTAACACTAACCTCTTAATGCTGGGTTTCAAGTGAGGCAGCTGTTAGTACCATTTTTGTAAGTCTTTGGTATGACTCGACCGGGGATCGAACCCACGACCTTCCGCATCCGAGACGAATGCTCTAACCACTAGGCCACTGGAGCGGTTAAACGATTTTTTGTAAGTTTACAATAGAATAATTATAATGACCTAACTTGTGAGTTCAATTAGTTTTATTAATCGGGGACTTTATATTGAATGAAGTCATCAGATAAAAGAAACACTGTCAGCTCATTAAGAATCACCTTATATATTCCAGGTGTTGATAATGATTATTTACCCAGTGCAGAACAAGTTTTATCTAAAGTTAATTGATGTAAATGAATGTAATTTCCTTCTATTGTAGACTTCAAAGTCCAAATCCTTTCAAATTTTCTAATTCTTGTTAGGGTTAGGGATTTTATATAAATAAAAGTATATTAAATGTCATGTATAAAGAATTACTACACAATATCATCTAATTCGTGAAATATAAGTATCAATTGAAACTGAACATCAAATTCATACTATTCGATCAATATATACTTTAAATGAGCTTTTCGCACATTTCACATTATTTATGTAATTTTTCGTAATATTTTGTAACGTATTGCACCTATTTGAAATTTTTTGTAATTGTCGCACTTATCGCATGGTAGTCACACCATATACATATTTTGATATATTGATGAATGACATATTCTTGTAGTTATTATTCTACAAGTAAATATTTTGATCTAATTTTTTATAGATTTTAAATATTTTATATTTTTGATGAATGTATCTTTCTATGTAACCATTTATATATTATATCATTATTATTAGTATATTTTTTTGAATTCATTGACCTGTGCATTTAAAATACTACTTAAGCTTATGCTATCTATGATGACCAAATTTGTAATTGCAATTGACAAAGATTCTTACTATTAATAAATATAAATCATGTGTTAATATATCTGTCCATTCTTGCCCTCGGGGCGTACTTAATGTTTTAATATACATTTCTTGGTTAATTCATTGTATTGCTGTTAAATTATACACCAACAGCAGTAAGGGAAATGGAGTATTTTACCCCCAAAGACTTCTCCCACCGTCCAAACAAATACAAATTACCATCTCAAAGACCCACCAAACCCTATTCCAAAACGACTTTCATTTATTAGCTAGGAGACTTCTAGCCCGAATATAATCCAGGACCACTCCCATCCCATCAAATGATTACAAAGTCCTATCTCTGAGACACTCCAAACAAATACAAAAACAAATACAAATTACCATCTCGGAGACCCCCCAATCCCTATCCTAAGACGACTTACAGTTATTTGCATGGAGATTTCTATCTCAAGAACCTGTAGCTATTTGTCACTGTCAAATTTCCAAAAATTATTTTTATCGTTAACACAAAATTTCATACTCTATCACTTACATACCTTTTTTATTAATCTTTTTCATACCTGCTTACTCTCATTGGTAGGATATCCGTTTACATACTGCCAATAATACGACACTCGCTTATTAAATCGTCCTTATCAAGTAGGATCGTATCTATCAAGTAATTTTTGTATTTTATACTAGCTGTTTTGCAGGCATTTTTTAGTCACATGTTGAGGTTCATTTTTACGCGCTGTTGAAAGAGAAATATCAACGCCTAATATTATTAACAAAAGCAGATTTAATGATTATCCATTTGAAACTATACCATAACCAGTCATTAACAATGGTAAATATGATATTATCCTAAGTATTTTGATATAGTATTTGTAACATTTTTTCACACACCAAAGACTTTTTTTTTATTGATAATATCTGTAATATTGCATTAGAGCGCCCACACCTTGGTTTGGAATTTTATCTGAAATATGGATAAAATCAATTGAACTTTTTGTCATTCAATAATATTTGTTTACAGATTTTATACAATAGTACTGGTTCCTGGATTTTATTAAGTGATTAATTGTGGTGACTCAGCTACAAATTCCAGACACCACCAGTACGACGCTGCGGTTATTTATTTTTTTTTTATCTGATGCTTCCAGAATAAATGTTGCTTTGGTATCTTTATTTAACACCATATATAGAGTAGAGTTCTAGAAAAATTATTAGTTGAATGACGCCATATATATGTGGTAAATATGCTAAATTTTGCACCGCTAAATACGGACAGTCTATATACACCAGTGACTTTCGCGGTATTTTTGATAGTGTTATTTTGCGGTGTCCACGTTGCTGATTTTGATGATACTGTGTATATCATTGATGATCTGCTTTTGAGGAATTTCAATCTGATTCGTTTTTTGAACGATATTAAGAATTTCACTGACAATATCGTTTAGTCTTGCTTTAATGTCAGCGAGTTTAAGATCAACAACCGCTGGACTTCAAAAAAAAAAATTCATTAACGGATCTGTTTACATTTCTACTAAAATTTAGAAACGTTTGTATGTGATTACAAAAATTAGTCTTAGATGTGATCATTTCATCATTTATTGTTGTTAAAGATGTCGTCATCGTTACATTGCTATCATTGACATATTTCTTCATTGCAGCATCAAAATCTGATTCTGGTGTTCTAAGAATAGTAATACCATTACTATTCACATTGAAAATGCATGCATTATACCAACTTTAGCTGATATGTATATAGATTCTTGATTTTCGACGTATTTTTTGTTGCGGCGTCCGTATCTGCGATTGGATTTTCAAGGTTTATAATTTTATTTTTATTCATGATAATGTTACAAATGAATGAATCACCAGCTTTTTTACATAATCGTTAACATACTTACCGGAATCTTGTATTTTACCTTGATCAGTAAAAATAACGATTTTATTAAAACTCGTGGTAGGAATTCAGATAAGTACACCCGACAGTTGTATATTACATGTCTTTAATCGTCCTTGTTTAACCTGAAAAACAACGACTTCATTTTGATCAATGCTTGTGATATTTAATAAATTATTGATTTCATTTCTGAGCTGATCAAGAGTTGCCTATTTAGATAAGACACCTTGCGGAGCTTCAGCCAATGAATCTATTAATAATGTTCCAAACTTTGTGTAATAGGTCACATGCAAATTATATTACATAAAATTATATTACAACAATTGCGAATATATTAAATTTTGATACCGAACGATTAATTATTCATAAACATAAAAGCGAACTTCCAGATTATCATTTTCTTATTATTGGTCGTACACATCAGGAAAAACAAATCTGTTATTGAATCTTTTGCTCAACAATAACTTTAACTATGATAAGGTATATATTTACACATTTAACCCACAACAAGATAAATACGAATTATTGAGCGATTATAACAGCAAACTTTGCGATGAACTTTACGCTGGTGATGATGTAATTTTAATAAAACAGCCAGAAAAACTTATTTAAGTTAGTCAACTTGATTCATTTGGGCATTTAATAATTGTATTTGACTATATTCCGCTAAACAAGGAGGAGATGAACAAGATCAGATCTTATTTTTCATTATCGCATAATAAAGATGCATTTCTGTTGAACTCGCCGATGGTTTTTACAACGTCAGTAGATTTATTCGGCGACATACTGGTTGTTTTATTATTATTTCCAGGACTGGACAATGTTGATGTGAGAAATATTGCAAACGAACAATGAGCTGATGTAATGAAAGATAAATTTATTGAACTATATCATCAAGCAACCAAAGACAAATACAATTTCTTTTTATTTGATAAACTAGTGCGTGATCCGGCTAAGATGTTTGTTGTTGTATTAACACGTTTTTATAGGTGAATGTTATAAAGCGATTAAAAATTAAACAATGGACAAGCATAAACAAAGAATCCAGTTACTAAAGAAATTTATTGAAACTCATGCAGCTTTTAATTATAAAGTGGAAGAAGTTCGGTATGAACAAATTCAAGCAGAGGAAGAAACTGCTAAACATTTTAAACCTGTTACTGAAGCAGTACTTGGCAAGCAACCAGAAATATCAGCATTATCTGCAGACAAGCTTAAAGAATTACAAGAAAAAGTTTTGTTAGGTTTACTCAAAGAAAGATCGAAAGATGAACATAAAAAACTTGATGAACTTGTAAGACATATTGTTGATCCTGCCGCACGACAGACTGAATGTAACAGATTAATGATCGACCATCTTTTACTTAAGCAGGCTGTAGCACGACACACAGTCAATATAGACGAATTACGGAGGTTAATAGAAAAACGTGTCAAGAGAAACTCGGAACTAGCTGAGGGACAAAAAAGAATAACTGAAGCTACCATAGAATTGATGCAGCGTTTAAAATAGATTAGATTTTACACACAACAAACAGGCTATGTCAGAAAAAGTTAATCCGAATTTAAAGATTTTATTAAAAATTGATTAAAAAAAAATAAACTAGATGATTTTAACAACATTCGAGAATGGAGTGATGACAATTACGATATAATAAGGGGAAATTTGGTAAGTAAAGCTAATGATCTTCCAATAGCTGAATAAGCGCTTGTAAAAGCTAACACTATTATTGCTAAGGTTTTAAATAAAATAAAGTAACGAACCAATACCTACATAAACTAGGAGGTTATGGTAAAGGTTGGAATTTTAAGACTGCTTATTAGTTATGAAAATAAACGTGTTAAATATTACAAAAGTAAATCACTGGATCTGCAGTTAAAGCATTTACATCAAACGCAGAAATAGTTGAAAGACTTATGTTGTTGATATCATCGAAAATCTGTTAATGAAAGCGCAGAGATCGATAACGAAATTATTGATATCAAGTGGATTACTAACAACGATAACGAAATTATTGATATCGAGCGGATTACTAACATCGATAATGAAATTATTGATATCGAGCGGATTACTGACATCATCCGAGTACGAATTTTATATAGCAATCTTATTTAACAATATTTATATATCAATAACATCAACACCATTATTTCTTGATTCATCGCATATAGCATGAAGAGCTAAAAAGTTTCTGTTAATTACAATCCGCCAATACAACCAGATCTTGAAAAACAGTATCATATTGGATTAATTTCCTATACAGCGTCGAATTATAAGGCTAACGTAAAAGCTGGAGTAAAAGATGAATTTGCATTTATTCCAAATATAATAAGAGACCTGCA